TGGATTCCTCGGCATTATTTTTGAAAGACAGGGAGATAATGTTGAGCTTACTCAAAAAGGGCTCATCAATAAAGTCATCGATATACTGGTGATGTCTGACGCTAGCTAGAAGCTTCTCCTGCCGGCCACCATCCTCTCGGAGCTGACAAACTGGGGGCCCCATTTGAGAAGAGTGGAGCTATCCAGCTGCAGTTGGATGCTTCTTTATATGCGTCGAACACATCGCCCAGACATCAATTTAGTTCACCAGGTGGCACGATTCGTCACAATCCCAGGCATTCCCATGCTCAATCGATCAAACGTATCATTCGGTATTGATTTGGCACAAGTGACAAAGGCATTGTGTTTTAGCCCTAAACTTGATCAAGGGATTGACTGTTGGGTCGATGCTGACTTCGCCGGATTGTGTGGATATGAGGATGAACAGGATCCTGTGCCGTCAAGTCTCGCACTGGATTTGTCCTGACCTGTTTGGGTGCCCTATTTCTGGTCCAGCAAGCTACAGACTGTATTACCTTTGAGCTCACTGCTGCTGAGTATGTTGCCTTCAGCAGTCAATGAGTGAGCTGTCTTCCTATGCGCGGCTTGCTCAAGAAATTGTAGTAAACTGAATATGTCGGATATTACTGACAGTCTCGTGCGCTGCTTACTTTCGGAAGACAACCAGGTGGCTTTCTTCTTGTGAATGTTCCCAAAAGTTCTGCGCGCACAAGTATTTGGCATTGAAGTACCACTTTCTTCAGGTCCAAAATCGGGGAGTCGAAAGCATCGTGCTAAGTATATTCCGACTCTGGAACAACTGGCCGCATTTTCACTAAAGGGTCTTCCCGGCTCAACAGTTTGTTGTCATTCGGAAGCTTCTCATGGATGGTAATTTACCTCAGCACTTGCTGGGAACTCTCTCCAATCGTCTTCTTGCTCCAGCATCATTTTCAGCTGTAAGGGAGTGCGACGGGATACAGCTTAACAATTCAGCTTTACACTTTATCAATTAGCAGGCTTATTCTAAAAATAATCAATAACTGGCTCACTTATTTGGAATACAAACTTTACATCTCTTAAGAATCGTTAGAATTAATTCAGTACACAATAGGTATTGTCGCACTGAAACCGCCTTTGCCGCCAGCTAAGCTGATTGGGTACAGGATCAGCCCTCAAGTCATTTCAGTCAAGAGTATCCAAGACTCACGCTTGGTTGCAAAGGTCATTCAACCAAGCTCCAGTTGGAATCCAGGTACTCATTCTTCCTGAAGCAGGAGACCCAGAAGCTACTGAGACTAGCCTGAAGACTAGCAGGTTGGTGTAAGTGAAAATTGATCATTCTCTTACTCATTCTGGCTAGTTTGCAGAGAAAAGTTTGAGCCCACCCCCCACCCTGGCGTGATAGGCAGTTCTGCCAATCACCACTGTGAATCTATTATAAAAGACATGAATTGAATGTTGGAAGCATCCTTGCTCTGCCCAGGTGTTGAACCAGGCAGAGCTCCTCCTTGGAAAAGGAGGTCGGTCTGCTACCATCAGGATATGAGGGTCCTGGATCACAGAGCCTGACGTGACCCTGTCACGGGCGCTTGGGACTCAGAAACCCCCTGACCCTAACCCTGCTGTTCGTAATCAACGTGGCCATTTATTCGGCTTTTTTCAGCGTTGGTCTCCTGTTTCCTCAGTTTGCTGGCTACTTGGATCCAACCATTGTAGCCAGTTACCGTAAGAGTACATCGATTCCGTGACAGTGTCAACAGTACCGAACACACCCAGGTTCCGCTTACTGGCTCACTCCGTTACTGATACCTTGCTTGGATCCTTATGACGAATACATGCACAACCGAACATTGTCAATCCAGCCATCATAGCCGGTTACAGTAGGTTCATCGATCAGTGACAGTGGCACAGTACGAACACACTCAGGTTCGCTTTCTTGCCACTCCGGTGTATGCATGGATCCTTATGACGAATACATGCACAAAACCGACTATTGTTAATCCGCCATGTAGTCCACCTACCTACAGTTACATCGCGGACGTGTCAACAGTACCGAACAACACTCAGGTTCCGGTTTTCGCTACACTCCGTTGCCGGTATCTTGCATGGATCCTTATGACGATAGACTACATGCACAACCGAACATTTTGAATCCACCCATTGTAGCCGGCTGCGTATAGCTACATCGCGACATGGCAACAGTACCGACACACAGTTCGGCTTTGCTCGCTGCGCTCGGTTACCTCGCATTGGATCCTTTATGACGAATACATGCACACAACCGAAGATTGTCAATCCAGCCATTGTAGCCAGTTACCGTAGAGTTACATCAATCCGTGACAGTGGCAACAGTACCGAACACACTCAGGTTCCGTTTTACGGCTACACTCCGTTACGGTACCTTGCTTGGATCCTTATGACGAATAACATGCACAACCGAAATTGTCAATCCAGCCATCGTAGCCAGCTATCGTAGAGTTCATCGGTGACAGTGGCAACAGTACGACACACTCAGGTTCGACTTTGCTCGCTGCACTCGGTTACCTTGATTGTACTTATGACGAATACATGCACAACGATATTGTCATCCAGCCATTAGCCAGCTGCCGTATAGCCATAGCTAGTGGCAACATCACTTGACTGCGCATACAGAAAATGGGTACCGACACAGGAATCACCACCAACACAGTAGGAAATAACAAGAAGGGATGAATCCGGTAAGAGGATCCACTCTCTTGTGTGTTGTCGAGTAGCTAGCATTGCTCCTGTTCCCTTTCAATGACTCGACGACGATCCGTTCAGCTGTTGGAGGGCTGGAGTTAACGTCCTCCGTAGGGTAGCCTCTTCTTCTTGTTCTCCGGAGCGACGATCGTTCGTTCGACAATGGATTTCCTCGGCCGTCGCAGTACAGCAGAGAAAACAAGAAATAGATATGAGAAAACAACAAATAGATATGAGTTTGTTTTTCTGTGCTCAACTGCGAGACGGAGACTTACCCTTGTTTTCAAATTGCACCAACTGGCCGTCATGGGCCGAGAAAGACCTCCGCGTGGTCAATTTAATGGGGATGGCTTTCGAATCTGCACCGAGACGACCGCTTGAGTGAGGCTTGACAAAGAGATAATAGAGGTGCGACCGACCGATCGATTCGAAAATAAAGACAACTCACCTGTTGACGGCCGAGATTTGACTGCCTTCCTGTGGTCCATAGAAATTCAATGGGATGGCTTTCGAATCTGCACCTTCAATAACACTCTTGATTATAGGTATGCTTACCTCCGTGTCACCGTACCAGTCGGTCGATCGATCGATCGATCGATTCTTGTCGGCCAACTCGGATTTCTCTCCTGTTTGCCATAGCAATTCAATGAGGGAGAGAGTCAGGCTGTGCCTTCAAAAAAGACTTGTGGACGATTGGATGGAATTCAGTTTAACTTCAACGGTTCTTTTTTCCACGAATCGATGTACAACGTTAAAACACGTTAAGTACAGGTTTGGTAGTTACGGATACACATGACCGTTGATTCTGCAACTGAAGTGCCGGTACTCTAATTTACACAGTAAACGCCGGCAAATCGATGTTGGAGTGCAACTGAGGGGGAAACCAAAAGGAGCGTGGTCTGGGAGACCAAATTTGCCCAACTCAAAGTTCTTCTGGAAGTTGGTTGCAGCAGCATGGCATATGCAAGGAACTCCACTGTTCATTTATTTTGGCGCTTACGTCACACTACAGTCGTACGGTGAACTGCCACTGTTGGATTCGATCATTCTGGCTGTAAAACGTTGGTTTGACAGAATTGTTACAGTAGTTGCCAAATATGATTGGTTCTCTATTGAGCCTAATGGCATAATTAAAAACGGGACAACACCAATGTCATTCGGGGTCATTTCTGAACAGCGGTGATATATCCCATTCGATCAGTGTGGTGCCTTAACAACTCCCCTACATGTGGCCGTCTTTCTCGAGCACGAGCTTCGAAGGAAATTGCGCATCATCGCATCTCCCGCCGCCAACTATAGAACAGAACAGAACAATGAAAGAGAACAAGGACGATTGCGCGAGAGCTAAGGAGAGCAGCTCTCGAGCCTCCAATGATAGGGGCTTGGCCGATGTGTCCGCCGACTATGAAGGGTCTGCGCTCTGTACTTCTGGTGTCACTGGTTCGGGCCGAACCGCAGATTGTTGCCAGAAAATACATGCAGTAAACGAAGCTACTGTGCCAATCAACCTGAATGGAGAGGTGACAGAACACACTGACGAGAGCGCAACTCCCCTGAAAGAAGCTTCTGAAAATTCCCCCGAAATTTGTTCCATGAATGGTGATGAGGGAGATGATATCACTGAGGTAGTGGAGGCAAAACATGAGGTGGGATCCCATCTTGGAGATACCAGCAAATCAGCAATGAAATATATGAAGGACACGTGTGTTGGGACAAGAGACAACTGTACTCTGACCTCCAGAGATAGAAGCTTGATGGATGTGACCGACGATGATGAAGCGTCTGCGCCCGGTACTTCAGAAATTGTTCTGGGGGTGACCGAACAACCTGACGGGACTGGAACTCCGGTCAAAGAAGCCTCAGAGATTGCCCCCGACAGTGTATCCATGAAATATGGTGACGAGTATGATGATTTCACCGAGGCAGTGGAGGCAAAACTTGAGGCCGTCAAATCAGTAGAGGAACTGAGCAGCCAATTCGAGAGCGAAATCGAGCCACTACCACCAGTGCAACCTCTGACCCCCATGAGATTCACGCCAGGAGCCCATGCAGTGGCAGGAAGACCATTCCATTGTCGGCCACGTCAAAGCCAAAATCAAACGAATTCTGGCGCTCAAACTCGACAAGAAGAAGACCAACCTGTAGTCATTGGTGGGGCAGTGCTAGTATCAACGGGATCGACTGCTTTGGAAGAGGGGGAAGCCAGTCATGACCACTACCGCCGTCAAGTTTCATCCTCCGATGGAGTTGAAGAAGTATTGGAAGCATGCATTCTACCAGAGAGAAATCGCCAGCACAGTTCAGCGCGTCACAGCCGGTACATGAATTGGACTCTTGTGTTTCTACTGGCGATCCTGGGTTGTTTGGCAGCCCTCTTGATAAGTCTCCTCATTGATTCATCGCCAACATCGTCTTCTTCTTCTCCAGATGGAAGTACTGGCACCACAGAAGCCAGTGCGGAAACAACACAAGGTGCTGCGCTTTTCGAACCCTTTCGCTCTGATTTACCACCTTCAGTGATTACTGGGATCCAAGAGACTGGAAGTGACTACTACCTGGCAAATGTATGGATGCAAGAAGATCCAAACCTCCATGAATACTCAAAGCAAAGGCAAATGCAGAGATACAAAATGGCCCTGTACTATCACACTCTTGGTGGAGCCTACTGGTTTCAAAATGACCATTGGCTGTCCTATGCTGTTCCAGAGTGTGATTGGTTTACAAAACACAATGAGGAACCTATATGCAATGAAAACCACGAACTTGTCATTTTCAACATGACATCCAACAATATGACCGGCCAGTTCTTTCAGAGCACAAACTTGAACTGGTCCAAGTTGCGTGTGTATGATATCTCCTTCAACAATCTGTATGGTGTTCCGCCCGCAATGGTCAGCTCTGGTGCAGACAACTTGGAAGTGCTGGTCATCAGTCACAACCAATTGTACGGCACGCTTGCTGCAGAAGGAGGATTCTCAGCATTCAATCTAAGGGTCATCAAACTGGATGGCAATCAGTTGTTTGGGGGTCAACCGATGGTATACCTTGCCTTGCCAAAACTAGAAGTCTTGAATGTCAGTGGGAATTTGAATGCTAAAGAGTTGAACAAATACCTCAAGTATTGCAAGAACCTGACCTATTTGGGTCTTGCTGACAACCTCTACCAGGGTACACTGCCTTCCGAGTTTGGACTCTTGACAAAGCTGCAAGAGTTTGATATATCTGGCAATGACAAGGTCACTGGAGTGATCCCTAGCGAACTTGGATTGTTGACACAGTTGACAAGGTTAAATGTTGCTGGGACATCTATCCAAGGCAGAGTCCCCGAGTCCCTCTGTTCGAGAAACAACATGTTGCAGGAGACAAGAATCCATTTCAATCTGGATGGAAATTCGTCACTAGACATTATTGCCAACTGCAGCAATGTTCAATGCTGTGGTACTCTTTGAGAGATGACCGGTTACAGTACAAACTACAGCTTATCAACCGCAGGATCACTACCCGTGGTTGTCATAACTAAATGTAAATTCGTGCTTCTTAGGGTGGAATTTTCATTCTTCTGATTGTCAGAACGATCATTTATTTCAAGGCAGAATCTGCTCGCCTCCAATGTATACTTTTTAGGCTACCATGCCATGAGGATCAATGACAAATTTCTTGGCCGCACCCGAATCAAAATCGGCATACCCCTTTGGCGCATCATCCATGGAAATGACTTCGACATTGACCGCCTTGGCAATCTGTATCTTGTCGAATAGAATGGCATTCATGAGACCTCGATGGTACTTCATGACGGGACACTGCCCGGTATGAAAGGAATGCGATTTGGACCATCCCTTTCCCAATCGCAAAGAGAGAGCTCCAATTTTGGCGGCATCATCGACCGCCCCTGGATCTTCCGTTACGTAGAGTCCGGGAATACCAATCGAGCCACCTTCCCGGACAATCTCCATACAATCGTTGAGTACTTGCGCGGGTTTTTCCACGGCACTGCCTTGGGCACCGGTTCCCCGCGCTTCAAATCCGACGCAATCAATGGCACTGTCGACGTATCCATCACTGTGCGGAACCATGGCGGCAATGTGGTCTCGCAAGTCTCCATCCTGTCTCAAATCGATGGTTTCGCAACCAAACGATGCCGCTTGGACCAATCGTTCAGGAATCATGTCCCCGACAATGACACAGGCAGCCCCCAGCAACTGACAACTGGCGGCACACGCTAGACCGACAGGACCCGCCCCCGCGACGTAGGCAATGGAACCGGGTCCAACATTGGCTTGGACGGCTCCGTGAAATCCTGGGAGAATAGCAATAATATGTGTGAGTTGAGTGAGCGGCGTGCAAAAGGACCGTAAAAATTTCTTTCCCTTACCCGTGGGAAAGATATCCGAGAGACAGGTCAAATCCCTAATTTTCTCCATCGCATGATCCCGGTCGGGGAACTTGAGCAGATTGAAATCAGCGTAGGGGACCATGACGTATTCGGCTTGACCGCCTGGCGCAAAAAATTGAATAAGAATAAAAAAGATGAGCTGAATATCTCTGATCAACCTGTCTGGTGGTTATTGCTTGCTTGCTGGTTCTGACGATTTGAAGGAAGCAAACCTTAGTTAGTCTTACCAATCCATCCTCCCATATCGACATATCCATATGCCGCTCCCGCTCGTGCCGGATTGACTTGTAAACAAAGCCCGGTATCGCCTCGTTTACAGGCGGCACATCGTCCACAGGCAATATTAAAGGGCACCGAACAGATATCACCCACATTGCAAAATTCGACATCACTTCCACATTCGACAATTTCACCGGTAATTTCATGTCCCAACACCATGTGGCCACCCGGCAATGACGTGCGACCACGGACCATGTGTTGATCGGATCCACAAATATTGGTGGTGACAACTTTTAAAATGGCACCGTGCTCACATTTGCGGGTTTGTCGTTCACTGACCACAGGAGACGACGTGGAATCCAACGCCAATTCCGGGAACGGAATGCCTTTGACTTGCACGTCGTTGGGACCCATGAAAATGACACCTCTGTTAGTAGCACTGCTGGTAGCACTGGCCAAGTGACGTTCGTGAATGGGTTTGCCACCGCATTTGCCACAGGCACAGCCAACGGCATGAGGGGAAAAGACAGAGTTGCCAGTACTAGTGCTAGTACCCAATGTAGACACGGAACGACAAAAAGTCAGTGCTCCGACGGATGATGATGACTTGGGGAGACACAAGAGTTTCTTGGAAGCTTGGACACCAAATCTCATCGTTTATTCTTTATCTTTCTTTAGTTATTAGTTAGTACCGTAGTCTTCCTTCAAAATGGAAAAAGTGGTGAGATTCCTTTCGCTCTTGCTAGCTAGAAGGTACCAATTACCTGGTACCTCATCTTCTTGCACCATCTCCAATTTTAATACCCATGCAATACTCATTGCAAGGGATTCATGGCGAGGAATGGCGTTGTTTGGGAGCACTGGAATATCTGATCTATACCATCCCGGTAGGTTGATCCATGATTGTTTCGTTCAGCCTTGAAGACGAAAAAGAAGAAGATTTGGCAAACAAAAGATCGCGAACCCATGACACCAAAGATCCAATCAGCAGAGCTGAAAATAAAACGTTTTCTGGCTCTCTGAAACCTCGTGGAACGATCCGTGCTCCCCAAGGAACCAAAGCCATCGACGATCGACGATCGAGCCGGTCTCTCGCTCGATCTCCACCTATTCCTTCGCAATGCATGATGTATGTATGCATGCATGTATGTATGTATGCATGCCAGAAGGAAGATGATGTCGTGCAGTACGATCAGAACAATCGGAATCAAGGCTCGTCCATCGGCAAGGTCAACCTACCGATACCGGTAGCTAGGGACATGACTGAGGCGGCCGGATACTTGTCCGTCCAAGATCGGATTCATGCCGTGTGGAAGCATTTCGAAGACTGGTTCGTACTGGTGAACGAAATTGTCTCGTTCCTTTTGGAACCTCTCCCGTGGCCTTTGATTATATTGAGACACTCCGGTCCAACGTGTTGCATCAACAAAGTCGCGGAACAATGTACGAGCGATTTTCTTGTCGATGACGATTGATATCTTCTTCAAAGAAGAAGACAACTACAATCTTGCTTTCTTGATGCCTTGTGGATGGTTATTTATCAGGATAGCTACTGTACAGTTAGAGTGGACGACTGCATGTACCATATGTGTGAGAATGGACTCCAGAGGTCAGGGGCAGAATTGCAGGGCACTCGAGCCTGACAGAGCGCAAATGACGTTGTGGACTTGCGGAAGCTTAGGAATTGTGCAAGCTTAGGCTATCTCGTGAGTCCTTACCTCTCCACTATCAGAGGCAACCGTGCATGAAGTTGTTAATCTAGAAAGTGCATAAGGATTTGATTTATCTTGTGTACTCGTATACTTAGCTAATAATAATAGATGAACTACAGTTCACACTCATTGGGCACCTTGCATTCCCGGATCACTCCTCAAGAAAACTTTCCATGGACCATTCTCTTTTCCAGTGACTGCAGACCCAGCAGAGGCATAGCATCCTGGATGCAACAACCCAGATACGTAGGTGTCAGCAATGGCAAGCCCATTCCCATCAATGTAGTGTCCACTAACATGGGCGCTGTCAACAATGGTGCAACCTTGAAAATGCAGTTTACCATACTCATACAGAGCATTTCCAAAGTACCAGAGGTCACCATCCACCTCAGCCCCCATGAATCGAGCATAGTGGGCAAACATGGGTGTGCCATACAGAAGGATTACAAGCCAGTTGCCAACTCCAAAAATCCATACATTGTTGATGTATATTCCAAAAACATCTTGCTGAGCACTGTGAGGCAAATGCAACATCAAGCCCTCAACAGCTCTGGTCAATAGGATCCAAACAACTAGCTGCAGCGCAACGGCTCCGGTCAACCCAAACATGGCGATGGCTGTGGAGGAGCTTTTCAACGCAGCACTGCCAATCTCAAAGGATGGTATGAGTGACACAAAAATGACAGCATTCAAAAGAAGTTGTGCTACTTCTGGAAGGAGTAAGGCAGAGCTGCTGGGCTTCCATGTCTTGCTCGAATGATTCAAATCATAGACACTATCAGAAACATTGGACCTTGGAGGGATTTTTGATCGTATCACTTTGACACCAGCATGAACATTGACACCATATCCAATACTGCTGTTAATGAGTTGAATCTTTGAGTCTGCTGGGGTGGTCATATCCAGAGTAATAGTGCCAACAAATGATTTCTCGATCTTCACAAAATCAACCTTGGACGGGAAGAAGATGATGTATGGGTTGTTGAGAATTGATTCCATATCAACATCAAGCCCATGGAGGAAAAGGATGAAGTTCCAGCCTCTGGACTGGCCAAAGAAGGGAGTCAGTGTCCAAGAAGCCACACGGAAGTGGAAGTCACATGCCCAATTGGTTGCCCGGTGATAGAGTGACCCTTCATATACGTCCAATGGGTCTCGTTTTCCAATCAGTACCCATTTCAGAGCAATGCTTGTAAGAAGTGCAAGTAGGGAGGAGACAGGAACCAGCAAAATCCAATGTAGTATTGTAGCATAGCGCCAATCGGGCAAGATTGAGTTCAGTGCGACATGGACCAAGAAGGAGAGGGCAAAGAAATGATAGGCTTCAAAGACCATCCAGAATATCTTGAAGATATCAAACATGGACTCTTCCAAATGGAGTGATTCTTGATGTTCAAATAAGCCAGCATTGTATGCTGGATTTCCCTGAGCAAGGACACCATCTGGTACAATGGCTCCCTCATCAACAACAGACAATTTTTCCACCTTGCTGCCATCTCCAATCATGGTCCCAGGGCTGACCATGCCAGAGATCTTGCAGTTCTTTCCTACAACAATGGGATAGAACGTTATCTTGGGGTTGCCATCTCCATTTGAATGAGAGAATTTCCGGCACTTCATAGGGTGGCTTATGACTGAATTTTTACCAACTGTCACAAGGTCAAACTCTCGGATATAGGATTCAATCTTGGCAGACCACGCCAGGTCTGCTCCAAGAATCTTATAGAAGATCCAAATGAACTTCGTCTCCAAAAGAAACTGCCCAACAATTGATTCCCAAATATCCAGGATTCTATCAACAAACCACCAGCGAACATAGTCCCATGACAAGAGCTGATACTGTTGAGATCGATAGTTCCTGACAACAGCAACCTTGCAGAGTACCACAATCACTGATAAAGACAGAAGGAATAAAGGAAAGGCCAGAGGTAAGAGTGCCCAAAAGAATGGTCCGTGGCACACCTCTTCTTCATTTGAGTCACAGTTTCCCAGTACCCAGGTGACAAGAAAGTAGGACGGCACAACTGATACAAAGAACAAGAGCAGAATGGCGAGTAGTCCAACTGTTTGGACTACTGCAAGCTGAAGTTTGTTGAGCCTGAAACCAGATGAGTTCTTTAGGAAGTCAGGGTTATTGTACCAGTCCTGCTTTGCAAAGCTCTTGCTCTCTGATGCTTCCAAGAAGGCTGCAAGTTCAGTTGATGTCGTGTAGAGCTGTTCAAAGTTCGCGGGGAGAACTACGTGCAACTCTTCTTCCACCTTGTTCCTGAGCTCAGCACTCTTAAGAGATGTAAGTCCATTCTCAGCCCATGTTTTTGATGCGTCCACTTCAGAACCCAAGACAGAGGTGATGGTGTTGGCATATCTTGTGGAGAAGCAATCTTCTGGGTTTGTAACATTATCTGTGCTGCTTGTCTGAGCCAAACGATCCTTCCCCCCTCCCCACTGGTTGAAGTTGGACAGCCAGTATGCTTCATTGAGTGCCATCCCATTGTTGCTCGTCTGTGATGGTGTGGTACACCCAAGCTTTTGAGCCCAAGAGAGGTTAAGCCTTCCAAAAGAATGGAGTGCTCTTCTTGACAGGATTGATTTGGCAGAAAATTTGGGAGATTTTAGCTTCCTCCCAATGGTCTGTAAAACCAGATACAGGCTTGTTAACCTTGCATACATGAATGCGTCATGTGCATCTCCAACAATGCAGGGCAGCAGCAATTTGGAGATCAACCAGCTGGAAGACTCATCGTCTCCAATCCCTAAATCCAAAACAAAGAAGTGAAACAGTTGTTAGGTTCAATGCTATTGGTTTGAAACATCATTTGTCAAATACTTACAGGAGACAACATGCATGTTCCAGGCAATGTAAAGATCATTCAAATGAGCATTTGAGTGCTCCATCAAAGCCATCTTTGATTGGATCCTTGCCGCTAAAACAGGATGCGTAGCAAGTATCCTGCCAACTTCAGAGTTTTCCTTGAGGTCATTGTTTTGTTCCAGCCAAACGGCCTCCAACAAATTGATGCAACCCAAGTTGTTGATTCTTTCAATTTGCGTTTCAATAGCAGGGCCTTCAGGAGATCCCACACTTTCCAGGGCAAGTTCCAACATAACACGGGTTGACCTGTTCTTAATCCAAAAAAAGAATGGCCAATTACCATACATAGGATCTTGTTCTGGAAGATTGAGAAACTCTTGCAGCTCAGAAGGAACTCCCTGAATACTGGGGTTCAAGGCTTCTTCTTCCTTATCATTCTGCAACTTCTGCTGCATGCACCCAGGGTGATCCATCATGAAGGTTGATACCCATTGAAGAACAAAGACTTGATGCGCAAGCTGAGAAAGGAAACCTGTCCTGTCATCAATCAAAATCCAGCCTGGATTCTCACATAAGGTGTGAGCAAGCTGGCAGATAGTAGGGTGCTTGTTGACAAGATGCTGCATAATTTGAGAACACATGGTTTGCATTTCAGTTGTTGTCTTGACAGCTTTGGACCAAGCACCCTCAATACCAGGGACTCCAGAAAGATGTAGATCAAAGAAGTTATCATCCAACTTGCTAGGGTCGCATTCAATGGCTCTGACAGCTTTGACAGCTCTGCCAGGAAGGGCATTTGTTTGGCTAGGATCAAAGTCACAGATATATGTGGAGTCATCAATCAGTGGAACAGGTTTGTCATGTTGCTGGAATCTGATGAGCACATCAGATGCCTTCCAATCACCAGCTAAAGTTGTCTTCCTGATCTCACTCCTCTTCAGCTTGCCAGATGTTGTCTTGGGAGTCACACCCAACTTGAGGACCAGAACTTCGGATACAAACAACCCATGGACTTGGGATGCATGGTTGGCTATCTGAACGGCCAAACGTTCGTTTACTGACTTATCAAATCCAGTGCGACCCTCCACAGTAATACCAACACTGGCTTCTCCGTGCTGGAATGCACTTGTCCTTCCTGGGCGGATGATGTCGCCAAAAGTTTCATCAACTGAGAGCTCCACATCGGTTGGGTAGTAGTTCTTGCCATTGATGATGATGACATCTTTGACTCTTCCAGTAACATAGAGCTGACCATCAACCACCTTGCCTAAATCTCCAGTGTCAAGCCAGATGCCATCATAGCCAAGCAATGCATTTGCGAAGATTGAGGTTGTCAGCTCTGGCTGGCCATAGTAGCCAGCTGCAACACGGGGCGACTGGGCCCAGATACTGCCAACCTTTCCTTGTTCAACCTCTTTTCCATCCTCAACAATTCGAAGTTTGAGGGTTGGGGAGTCTACTACACCGCAGCATACGACACCCTCAGCATCTGGGCAGGCAGGTCCACCAGTGAGAAGCACAACTGATTCAGCTAGACCGTAGTTGTTGTAGATATGTTCGGGTTTGACAGAGAGGGTTTTCGCCACTGCTTCGACAACATGGCTTTGAGCAGGTTCACCACCAAACATGGCACGCTTCACACAACTCCAGTTGGCAGTCCGATTGGCCTGCTTCAACCGCTTGAGAAGCAAAGCATAGGCAAAGTTTGGGGCACACGTGAGAGTTGCTTGGTATGTCTCAACCATATCAGTCCACAGCAATGGGTTGACAATAAAATCCAATGGTGAAGCCATGACAAGAGGGGTGCCAGAATATGTAGCACCCATAAAGCCAGTTACAAGTCCCATGTCTGGATAGCGAGGGGCGGATGAGGTACAGAAAGAAGCATGGGAACACAGCAGCAGTAGTGGCCGGAACTTACCATGGTATTGAGGGACCCATAAGACTTCCACATCGTTGGGTTCTAAACAATCCGTCAAAGCAACACCGGCTTTGCATGTTTCCACCAAGTTGTTGTGAGTGATCATGACTCCTTTGGGACGTCCTGTACTACCGGATGTGTATTGGATGAAGCAGATATCTTCTGGTTCGCCCACAAATTTCTCATATATTCTGGGCTTTTTTGTTGGGTTGGATTTTTTAATTGAGAGCTTGTCAGTCCCAATCCACTTGACACCAGTCTTGTAAAGGACACCAGTGGCAGTCATCGCAGTAGCAAACATGCTGGTAGAAATGGCAAACTTGGCTCCGGCATCTTCAGCAAATCTGCGGAATTTGGGCATGTCAATCTTGAGCTGATTGGGATTGGGCGGATAGATGGAGCAGGGGATGACTCCAATCTTCATGGCTCCAAACATGCCGGTCAAGAACTCAAGGCCAAAAGGATAGGCCACCATGACACGGTCTCCCTTCTTGCATCCAAGCTTGATGAGACGAGCAGCCACAGCATTCGACTGATCCTCCAATTCTTTGAATGTCATCTTGTTCTGTTCCTCACACTTGATATTCACCCATGTGAAGACTATCTTGTCGGGGGTCTCTGCGGCATGATGATAGAGGGCCTCAAGGATGGTGGAGAAGGACTTCATAGCTGTCTGCCAAATCTTTTAAATGTGCTTGTGATCGATGTTTGTTTTGTTGAAGAAGTTCCTATGAGTTAGAGAGGGAACTATGGAGGGGTGGCACAGTGGGCGGAGGGAGGATGCGCGAACGCTATTGCTCTTGCGGATTTCTGCTGCTAACGAAAGTGGATCAATGTATTGCTGCACAGGCAAAAACATGGCAAAACATTGCATTGAACTTGGCTGACTTCGGAGCAAGACTTAGTGAGAATTGAATCGAATCGTTGAATCGCTGAAAGACAGGCGAATACCTTTTACGGAGCACACCGACTAGTCCCGCAACCCACAACCAGCCTCAGAGTACTACTACACTACTACTTCCTTTACACTAGCTACTAGGAGTAATGTCAACCATGTGGGAAAGCTTCTGCACAAGTAAGTAGTGGTACCAGCTAGCTGCTAGTACGATTCGAATGTTTCGAATCATCCACAGCGTGAAGTCTCTGCGGCTTGAATGATAAGTCACCGCTACCCCCTGAGTCGGTTTCATAGCTGTTGAACCTCGACTGGTTCATGTTCGCTGTGGGTACATCCATGTACGTCTGTACGTCAGTACTGGGAAATACTTTTTTCGGTAGTCGATCCTGTCCAAGACTGTCCAAGAGCTGTTCTGGAACCAGTACCAGTAGATCTAACGTCTGGACTACTTTTTAATTATCAGACACAACCTGAACCAGAAAACAGAACGGCACCAGAAGATCGAATTGAAACTCGAGATCTACGATAGGGATAAGGCCTATTCGTTTGGGAAAGATATTTTTCGACCTCACAATCAGACCTTCAGGCTGTTCCGCTGTGGGAAGAGCGCCAAAATGACGTTGAGCTTGACTTGTGGGAAGGGTATCGCAACCAACAACCACCAAGAGAATCAACACCGGATAGCTATAGCTAGGCAGAGCTAGTAGTACTGTACAATAAGATGCCAAGCTCTGAAAGATGCCAGGTCCCGCTGTTCGTGTGGCTCTTATTGTTCGTTGGGTTGAGCCATTTTCCCACTCAAGCCTGGGCTCCAATTTCTTCTCTCACAGAAACTTGGTAGCAGTACCTGTTGTACAAGTACATTATTCCAGTTCCACAACAGTTCTTGCTGTCAAGTCTCAATCCTACCAAGAACTGACCGATGAGTGTCTTTCCTTTGCCGAGAATCACCAAGCGGAAGAAGATTCTCTGCTCCAAAGAGACTTTAATTAAGATCTATCTGATTCCCATTTTGGTGTTGATTATCGCCTTTCAGTTGTTCCCCGAGACGAGTCAAGCCTTTCATCACACGCTCGAAACGCTCTCCTTATCTCAATACACGGGCGAACTGTCGGAGGAGATTCGACCTCTCATTAATGGCCCGATCACGTTGACCATTTCCATTCTCTTTGGATCACTCGTCAACAAGCATGACCATTTCCACACTCTACCAACGACAGTGTCAACTTCATCAAGCAGGAATTGCCCGTCTCAACGATTGCCGGCATCTTCTGTATTTGGCCGAAGGATTGCCCGAACCCGAAAAGAGTCAAGTCAAAATGCAAGTCAAAGTCTTTACCATTCAATCCCTACGGTCCTTCTTTTTAAAATGGGTCACTCTTTGACAAGGACGTGCGAAGCTTTGATCTCAATTCCGTCCTTTTGGCACTTCACAAAGTATCACAACAACCACAAGAACCCGGTGGTGCTAACTATGGACTCGTCTTGGGAGAACTCTACGCCGCCATTGCCAATCTCAAACAACACAAGATTGAATTCATGGCAGCCGTGCAAAAGAACTTTACACCGGCCCACTATGCCAACTTGTTGACGCAAGCATTCGCCTTGTTGATCATTTACTTGTGGGAAACCGACAATGTGGCATTGATAGAAGCGCATCCATTTGAATTACGAGCGGCTTGGGCCATACTCATGAGTACCATGGCATCTTTGGTGGCCGTTATCATTGATCTCAATACACACCCATTTCCAACATTATCATCATGATTCGAAAGTACGAGGTGGATTTTGATGAATTGATGTACTACGGATTGGCCATGGATATAGAGGATGAGGAATGGCACAAATAGTTCGACCGCCAACAACCAAAAACTAACTCAATGTCTATGAACGGAATCAGACGACATGTGCTACCGGTAGAGGACATCCCAAATGAAATAGCTGATGCCAAGGTATTAGTCTACTCAACGGCCAAATGATATAGGTAGTAGCAGCTGTTGTTTATTGACTATTGAAATGATGTTTCTGTGTACAGTATCAACCCCCGATCTATCCAAGCCTTGTCCTCATGCTTGGCCCACTGCAAGTTTTGTATACCAGTAGCAAATGCCCCCCCCCCCCCACAGGTGTTGCCGGACTAGCTCTGCTCCAAATGATGTTCTACACCTGGGCACAACTCTCAATTGTCTTTCTTCTCCGTGGATCCTGCAATGTCAAGCCCTTTGGCCCCTGTTTTGGTCCTCAGTTTGTCACACCTCATGCCCGGCCATGGAATCTAGTAGTCCTGAATTCCGCTTCTTCTTAATTTGCCTACTAAAAGCCTTGCCCCCTATCGGCTTCCGTAGATAGTCTAACTTCCCTACTCTAGCTAGCTAGACCCCTATTCTCTGAAGGGCACTGGAATGCAGCATCATCATCTAAGATTGAAGATCATTCTTATCATGGCATACTAGTACCTGCCGGTACCGTGCAGTCCCCTTGGTGGGGCCATTTTGACGTTTTGTCAGTCAAAATTACTTTTTCAGAAATGTGTGGTTGGAGGCAGCCAGTCGAGGCTGATTGTTAACGGCAAATATTTGAATTTTGAATTTGCGACCACATCGAGGCTTCCTCTTATGCACAATTTTTTCTAGCAGTTGTATCCACCATGGAGGCAAGCAAAGACGACAATGACAACGAAGTCTCTATCCGTGAGATGCTCCGAAGCTTCCTGACTGATGACGCTTTGAATGATGTGACGCTCAAGGGAATTGATGGAGTAGAAGTGCCAGCAAACCGATTTCTCCTGGCTGCCAGAAGCAAAGTCTTTAGAGGAATGCTCTTGGGCAAATTTCAGGAGGCTTCCTCTCCTGTTGTAGAGCTTGGGTTCAAGGGGATTGTTTTAAAATCTGTTGTTGAGTACATTCTCACAGATTCCGTGCAATCACTAAACTGCAAGAAACGCAAGAGCCAAGATGGGTCGTCATTTGATTTTCAGATGATACAGTCCCTGGTTGCCGTGGCAGAGGCCGCTTCCTATTTTCAGCTTCCCGGGCTGGGAAGATCTACCATGAAGGCATGTCGACAAATTTTGGTGTTCTCCCCATGCTCATCCTTTGCTGTACTTCAGGCATGCAAAATGGCTGGCCCCGTCATTCCGGCAAGCATGGCAGAGCAAGCCATGAAGAAGATTTGCTCTGTTCCAGCTCAATCAATCTCCAAAGAGCATGTTCGCTGTTTGAGTGCTGATGTTTTGGAGGAAATCCTCCAAAATCCCAAGACGGAAATGACTGAATACCACCTCTTCCAGATCCTCCAAGTTTGGGCAGAAGGCAATGGGGATGACAACAACAACAACCAAACGAAAGCAAAAGCCTTGTCCAAACACATCTGTTTGCAAAAGATAAATCCAGAAACTTTATCAACAACAATTGCAGCCTCTGGTTTGGTCACGTCTGAGCAGCTGTTGGAAGCATACAAAAGCAGGCCCTAGAAGCAAACAAGGCGCGGCCCTGTGCCACCCTAGACCAGCTTCGATACGAAGGATGGGTAACAGAGCTGCCTCCAAATTGTGGCGCACCCATGGAAATCAAAGTAGAAGGTGCTGGTTCTAGAGCTGTCAATGGGGTTTATGTCCGAGATGGGTCCTATAAGGGCCACTGTAAGTACACAAAGGAAGGCATGTATCAAAGGGAATCCTGTGTATTCTGGCTGCTGCTGTTTGAAGGCAATTGGTGGATCTCCATCCCACATGGCAGAGAAATAGGATCTGGTTGTGATATAGACTTTTACGTGGCTGACAACGAAGACGATGAGAACGTTCCGCCAACCAGCAAGTCACGGTGGCTCGACGTGGCGAAAGGAATTGCACCAGCGCCAAATTTGATGTATAAAGTTTAGCAGTACAAGTCTGCTCATGGGCTACAATGTACTAGTAATCGAAGTTGTTAGCCATTCTACTTTGTTTCTGCCTTACATGCATGGGATTAGTCCTCCTTTCATAGCTCTTCCCCGAATGTACCCCTTGCTTGCTGAAGAAAATTGATTGCACCACTTAATAATTAACCTCATCGCCGTGGAGCTGCTACTTGAGTTCTGAGAAGAAGACTTCTACTTGACTGGGAAGGAAGCATATTAGAAAATTGTACCACTAGATTACCATTACGGATATATTTCCCTAAAGAAGTGAAGACGTGAAGACAGCTCGGGCTCAGCTGGTGTACAAGGTGTGAAGGAACCAACCACATCTCAGATTGCAGTGCATACTGCCCGTGTTACTGGCAATTTCGTAGCAGTGATTTGGGATTGATGGCGCCAGCAATCAAAACAGACCGCAAGAACCACACCAGTCAAATCAGACTACGGCGAGGCAATAGAACTTCAATTGACAGCAACGCCACCAACGTGAGGCGTGCCCCATACTCCCCGATGTGCATAGTATCCTCCTATCCTGGCAGTGGCTACCAATATACCACAAAGGGAGCCTCGAGTTTCGGGAGCTGAAACGAAGTGTTGACAAGGGGCCGAGCTTGAAACACACATCATCGAGAAAAGCACGGGAGATGCAAGCAGGCAGGGCAACAAATGGAAGCAAACCAGCGCCGAGCATTATTCATCACTGAACGCGCGAAGAACAAATACTTCTAAAAATAGACTATGTGATGTGGGTGTACAGTTTAACGTGTATCGTTATACGTGTGCTACTGGCCTTGTATGTGCGTACCGGTACCGGTTATTGAAAGCGCGATCAACAGCAAAACAGCAACACCATAGCTAGCTAGAAGTGCTACCGGTATGGTATCTCTAGGTAACACAACAGCATGGCCAAGACCGCCCTCCGCACCGAAGGCTGCACGCATGAACATTTGCGCCGCTTTCGCAACTGTCTTGGCATTGCAGCCAACTTTGGGCTCACAATTCTATTCAACGACACGTAAAAGAGTGCAGCAAAATGATTCTCAACGAACTGCTAAAAACCAAAAACCCAGATCTCCTGAAGAAAAAAAGAAGGAAGCTAAGGGCGGCTTTTTATGAGAAGAACGAGACGGGAGCAAGAACAGACCGTAATCCTTTAGCAAGCAAGAACAAAGGACTGTCCACACCGACCAATGTACCGGTTGGAAAGAGTGCTAGAGGTAGAGGGCTGAAACGAATGCTACCTACCTTTCGAAGACCAGCCTTATTTATCAATTGCAGCAAAAAGTGAGTATTCTAACCTTACGAAGACAACCTGGCAATGCGAAGGCAACAAGTGTGACCAGAGATGTCAAGCAAACCGCAAGAGTACGGCGACAACCCAGGAGCCTTAGCTGGGGGCAATCAAGAAGTCTCAGCCCTGACAGAGAGCGTATAGCTCTACGAAGACAATCCAGAAGCCTCCGTCCTCAGCGGCACTACATGGCAGAACGACGACTGCATTCCAGGAGCCTTAGTCCCGAAAGAGAATGCATTGCTATGCAACGGCAATCTAGCAGGAGCATTAGCCCTCAAAAAGAACGCATTGCAGTGCAACGGCAATCTAGCAGGAGCCTTAGCCCTCAAAGAGAATGCATTGCAGTGCTACGGCAATCCAGGAGCCTTAGCCCTCAGAGAGAATGCATTGCAGAGCAACAACAATCCCAGAGTGTTAGCCCTCGGAGAAACTGCATTGCAGTTCCAAGACAATCCCGGAGTGTTAGCCCTAAAAGAGAGTGGATGGATGTTCGACGACAGTCCAGAAGCCTGAGCCCAGAGAGAGTATACGTGGCAGTTCGACGATACACTAGGAGCCTTAGTCCTCAGGGAGAGTGCAAGTCTGTTCGGCATGAATCCAGGAGCCTTAGACCTCAGAGACAGCGTATTGATGTCTGGCGGCAATCCAGGAGCCTTAGCCCAGGGAGACAGCTAGTGGTTCGACGAAAGTCCAGGAGCCTTACCCCTCAGAGAAACGGTGTGGCAGTACGACGACAGTCCAGGAGCCTTAGCCCTAGAAGAGGCTTCCATCCAAGCAACAGAGACACTACTCGAAGGAACAGACCGCGAACAGTATCACCACAACGACAACGCCGACGCAACAGCGAGCGCAGCCAAAGGACAGCTGCGACTGCAACAACCGCGGCAAGCACCATTTCTGACAATACCAGTATCACGACTGTGCTGCTGGACCCAGTCAAGGCGCTCAACATCCAAATGTTCCCCCAAAATGTCCCACGGAACACCAAGGGCGCCCCACGGGCCAATCAAGGATTGTTGGCAAAGCATCTCATGGCAACGTACCCCACAAGATCTCTTACAAAGGAAATGAACATTCTCGGCAGTGAGGGGCTAGTGAGCACTCAATTCATCTTGAATAGCATTGCCAAAGTCCAACAAAACCAAGACATTGTCAAGTTGGAACTTGAAGATTGGTTGGGACGATCCAAGCATGCACAGCGAATCGCGATAGCCTTGCGAGAACTCATGATGCATGATCACCGGCCATGGGAAAGCATTAGGTTTGTGGACTATGTGCACGCATCCGATGTTGACACGTTCCAGCAGTGGGTGGATCAAAAGAATCTCTTTCAAAGTTGTTTGGGCAGCATTTTTCTGGAAAAGCTCGTTCCCGTGCATTTCGATTGCATTGTTACACTTCCCGCATCCACTGGCAAGGAGGACAGTGTGACACTCTTGAATCTCATGCAACAGGAGCCATCCGTTACGAAGCTAGTGTTTGCATCCAATCAGTCTGACCCTGTCATGTTGAAGGCTCTGGTGGACTTGTTTCAATGCGACAATCGTTCCTGGAAAGATGTGACGCTTCACCTGTCAGGCCAGTTTGCTTGGTAGTGTAGCCTCGACCTTACGCTGACCGGTTCTGCCTTCACCCCCGATTTCCCACACCGTTCGCTCTCTTTCTTTGCACGCATCCTATGGACTCCGTAATCTAGGATTAAAGATGAAATTTTGCATTCAAAAGTAAGCATTCAAATCATAACACCGGTTGCAGCCCGTGCAAGTTTTGTCCTGTGCTAAATGACCATGTCAGTGCACTCGCTGTAAGACTCACAGGAGAACCCTGGCTGCAAATCCTAAACTAAACCTCCCCCGTGCCTGCTCACTGTTAGTATCCAGCAAGATAGGGAGCGGGAACAAGCAAGAAGTGAATCAAAGCTCTGTTTATTATTTGTTTCTGCCTTCTAATTATTGTGTCTATTGGGATTTGTCTTTTGCTCCTTTTGTGCTGATTGTAATGGCAAATCTTCTTCATCCATCGCTTATTTGTCCTCCTGCCTCCTGCTAGCTAGCCAAGATTGTAGATTGTGGTTCATGTAGTATAGTGTAGATTGCATGAGCCTCTATTAGCAAGCCAAGCCAGGTAGCATTCTAGCTAGCTAGCTAATATCCCAACATGCGTTGATGTCCATGTTTGGAATCATTGTGCTGCAGAAGCTGACTCAATTGTCGAAAGAACTTATTGCAGGGTCCACACTGATAGGGGTAATCCGGAGTTGTGATACCATCCCCATAGCCTCCATTGGTGAGCATGGGCGTGTCTGCCAGATACGGCCGCATGGCACGCTGAGACTGGGCGTATCCATAAATTTGATTGCGAGCATTGGTGGCTCCCTGGCAGCCACTGCAGTAGCCACTTTCCACATGCTGCACCGCGTTGGCACCCGATCGGAAACGTCGTTCGCCGCAAATGGGACACGCCACATCCCGCGGGCGATGGACCTGCATGTGCATGTCTAGCTCATTCTGCGTGCAAAAGACGCGGGAGCAAGTGTGACATTGATAGGAGATTGTGCCATGGACACAGTCATTGCAACGAGAATACCCATCGCCCTTGCGCCATTGGTTGTAGCTGAAATCGTGCCGGCCCAGCCAGTCACCACAGTGCGAACAATGGCGTCCCATGGTCAGCTGATAGATTAAACTCCTGTAGTGAACTTGGAGACTAAGATGAACCAAGACGATCGAGGAACAAGAGGGGAAAGGGTCAGCTCAACCAAGGGAAGGAACTAACCAAGCAAGAACATGTCCTTCGACGGATCCGAGTTGTCGACGGCGACGAGAAAAGCGCTCTTGCAATTTCCAATCTTGCACTTTTGGAAGGTTCTTTGGCCAAAAAGATACTTATCTTTAACCCTGGTGGGCAAAATCTATTCTTTAGCCAGCCGAAATGATGGATCATGTGTGAAAGGATAAACAAGATGATAGTGGCTTGGCTCTCAGCTCAACCAAAATGAAGCAACCAAGCACAAACCCCTGGAGCCTCAAGTGTGCCTCAAGCTTGCCTCAATCCTGTACCGGTATTGTGGGGAATGGTGTCAATCTAAGATTTATTGTAGTATTCTTGGTTAGGTAGGATTTTGAAACCTTAACTATAGCCTAGATCTCTGAATCAATGTACTACCCATTCAAACAGGAGATGTTGAATTCTTGCCATCATTGCTCAGAAAAACCTTCCAGGGACCATTCACATCCCCAGAAATCACAGACCCAGCACGGGCATAGCATCCGGGGTGCAACAATCCTGATACATAAGTGTCGCCAAGTCCATTACCATCAAGGTAATGTCCGCTCACATGGGAGTCATCCACTATTGTTCTTTCTTTGAAATGCAAGTAACCATACTCATAGATAGTATTTCCAAAGTACCAGAGGTCTCCTTCAACTTCTGCTCCCATGAATCGTGCATAGT